ATGATTTAAGCACCTTTAAGCAACATTTCAGCGGCAGCCAGTTCTGCATGTCCACCATCACAGCTCAGGTGCTGAAGGGAAGGGCTTTGACCACCCGGTGACAGGCCTTTGCAGTGCCTTCCTCCTTTCAGAGGCTTCTGAGAAGCACCAGAACCGCGTCGCCCCCGCAGCCGGTCCGGGCGGTCCGGGCAGCGCGGCTCAGCTGAGCTCGGCCACCGAATCGGCCAACGAAGAGCGGGAGGCGGATCTGCTGCTGCAGGGCTTGGAATCTCAGCTGGGCTATGACTTTTCCATGCCTGAATTGTGAATGAAGCAAATAGCTATCTGAGTTCATGTTGATTTAAAGATATTTTAGTGGTTTCACACCATTGAGGATGGTCTGATGGAGCATGTGACCCAAACAGATTGGGTTTGCCAAGAGAAAACTGCTTGGACTTTGAAGCAGTGATGGCGTTGGCTGCTGATTTTGGTACAGAACCAAGTCACAAGTCCGCTAATTTGGTGCAATTAGCCAGCGGAATCGGAACTGGCCACGCTGGTGCCACTGGAAACATGCGGTGAGCAGTGCGCAGACGTTGGTGTACTTGGGTGGGGTCTGTTGAAAGACAAGATGACCAACGTGAAGAAATGACAAAATCTTCAGTCATTGCTACATCTATCGCCCACAGAACTTGTACATCATGCCCATTATATTCCATGACTGTGATTCAGTATGTTATCAACGCGGGGACGATGGTTTTCTACCCCACAACGGCCAGCCGAACAGGCGTTTCTGAAGATTTTCAGTCTTCAATATTGGGTGTTTGGCACCACAGAGAGATACCATGAAAAGGTGTGAATCCCACACATGCAGAATCATGCGCGCACCTGTGAGCAAACATGCACCTTTACAAGTCGCATGCACACGTATGTGCATTATATACATAAACATCAATATGATTAATTAATATTAATTAAACATGTATGTACGTATGTACGTACACTTATACGCATATATGTGTGTTATACGTATATGTATCGTATATGTTTAACTATGCTACAAACATATATGCGTACTCCCTACTGCATGACATGACATGACGTGACATGTTCTGCGTTCAGCCAGCCCGAGCCAGGCTGCATCAGCTGCTGCAAAGCTTGCTGCGTAACTCAAAGTGCAGAGGCCCATCTCAATGGAGATCGATATCGAGATATTAAAAGCTTTGGGACATTTGGGACCATGTGGGCGTGGGAAAATAACACCGGAAATGGGGTGCCCGATCTCACGGCCATAAAAAAGGGGCATGCTGAGAAGTTACTGAATTTTGGGTGCCAACTGTGGATGTGTGTCGTGTGTGTGTGTGTGGATATGTGTGGATACCATCAATCTGTGGGTCCGGAAAATTTGGCGATGGGGCACTTTACGCATGAGATTGTGAAATATGGTGCTGATGTCATAGAAAGCAGATGGAGATAACTATTGAAGAAAGAAAATTAACGTGTAAACTGGTTCCTTGATTCTTGCACATAGGAAATGGTCAGGAAACACCTATGCCTATGCTAAGATTGGCAATGTGATCACGGCAGCACTGAGAAGTTGGGAATGCAGAATGCACTGGAAACATTCGATCCCTCGTTCCATGATGGTGGCACCTTGGTTTTGGTTAAGAGAAGTCACGGGTGGAACCTTGGAATTCCAGCTGACGCCAGGCTGTAGAATCACAGTTGAATCATCCAGTGCGGGCCCTCAGTGGGATCCACCGGTTGCTGGACTGGTCTGGAAAAATCAAGAAAGATATTTTGCGAGGAGAGTGCACCCTCATTTTTGTTTGCATGTTGTTCAGGGCCTTACATATCTTACATGATCACTTGCATGAATGATGGGTGCCTGAAATAGTGAAATGGCTTCCACCAATGGCCGCCAATGGCCGCTCACGCTCGCACCAATGGCATTCCACGGGGAAGATCCAGCAGTTCCTGGAACCGCCCTGAGGACGCCATGATCGGTCGACCCCTCATTGGTGATTATAGTGAATCTAGTGAACTTCCTGTCTAGATTTGTCTAGCGGACTGCGAACTTTTTGTGTCTCAGCCAAGCTGATTCAGACCTTGTCAGGCGGATTGATGCTATTTCCGGGCAAATAGCGAAGCGACATTTCCCTCAAAAATAAATAATGCATGTTGGACATGTTTCAGGTAAAATCAACTTGAATAATGTGGTAAACCCAACAATAACCCCCCAGACCAGGGATGGTTTTAAAGATATGTTTGATGGTTTTTGCCACCCATGTATGGTAAGATTGGGCATGGTTTACGATTGGGTTTACCACATCATCGTGTCTGGATAATGCCAACCTTCGAGCTTTGCCCTGGGGAATATCCACAGTCTCCGCCTTTGAGAACCCCCATCATTTTCTGCCACAGAAAAAGTGACTTGGGATGCCGGACGGGTTATGAGTCACTGACAGTCACTGGCTTCATTGAATTCCATTGTCTTTGAAGTCCTTTCGTAGCAACTTCGAATTTTTGCCTTGAAGATTAGACCAAAAATGGTCCTGGACTTTTGTCAACTTTGAAACTCTCCTGACTTTCGAAAGGTTTTTGCAGAAGGTACAACAGAAGCTTGTTCAGGCAAACGTGTTGCTGCATGTCATCACAGCCAGGCTCAAAGAAGAATGCAAATCATGCAGATGTTGAGCTAGTCCTGTAGCAGGATCAGGATCAGTTGAATTTGAATTCTTCATGAATACATGCAAGGATAACCCACGATTTATACTTTGTTAGCTGCCTATCCATGCACAAGCATACAACTATCTATTTGTTCGTCTACTTCTTTCCTTCTATGACGTATACATCATTTTCCTTTTTTTTTGGTGCTTGCGGCTTGCGTGAGAAACAATAACCTTTTTGTATAAATAAATGAGTATATAGCTATATGGAGAGAGTATATAGTATACATACACTTATAGACCCGCCAGCACACACACACACCATTTTTTGAACACATTGAGTGGAGTCTATCAGGTCTATCATCCCAAGCAACTGGAGTTTTCCCATGATGAGACTGGCCCCGTTGGAGGATGAGGCCGACCGAATGGTCATCCCGTCATCCCGTGGCACCCACTGGCCCTGTGGGTAGTACCCATCTGGAATTGGAATTGTGGCTATTTTAACAATCACCTAATCAACCTATATACTTGATATACTTGTAAACTGGGGATTTATCAATCCTGGTTTTGACATTGACCCAGTTTCACCAATTTCAACTCGTAAATAGAATGCGTCGGGCCCAGCAAGGCGAGGACATGAAGGGTTCGGACTCGGACCGTGCGAAAGTTGTGGTTCTTTGGGAATGCTTCAAATTTCAAGTCCCCAAGCTGGATTGCAGTACCATGTTGCAAAGCATGCCCATCCAAATTTGCGTGCGTTTGGCCGAAGATTTCGATTTATCAGCCTGATCCCCTTGAATCATCCCCTGTGACTTTGTCCGGGACCCGGAAAAGTCTGGCAGTGGATGATGTGAATCTGTCTTGCAATATGGGTTGGGGATAACCCAAACCATGGCTGTCAAGGGTTCGCCTCCTGACAACTAGCATGGACCCCGGATAGACGGGTTTCAGGGTGATTTCCTATTGGAAGTAACAATTCTTGGGTTCCATATTAGTTTTCAGGGGTGATCCATCCATGAAGGGGTACCCTACTGATTTCGTGGGGACTCAACGAGCCCCCATTATTGGTGACGCCCCCGATCATGTGGGTGGTTCAGATTGGCCTTTATTGGTGGTTGTTGGTGGTGAATAGGTGCTGAATAAGCACTATTGGGAGGTGTGACCTTGGGGAGGGTTCATACCATTATTATCTATGTTGTCATATGATTATTTATCCCATTGTATCCCCTCAAGTACTTAGGGTAGACCTCCAGGACTCCTGTAGCTAGGCTCTTTCTTACTTTCAGACCAAAAGTAGGCCCTGCCGATTATGTGTATTCCAGACCCTGTGTTGCCCATGTTGACACCGTTTATGTTCCCGGAATGAACGCCTAAACATGTCTAAAAAGAACTCCTTGCTGCTTCCGTTGATTGAAAGGTTTTGCAGGTGCGGCACAGAAGACCCTAAATATTATACGTAACTTGATCCCATTCAAGACCCCATGCTAGACCTTCATGATATGGCGGCCATAAATTTATGTTAATCTAAGCATTTGAGAGTAGACCTTGCCGTTCACAAATCGCATAAGGTCTATAGTCAAACAAGAAGATCACATGAAACCCTCAGGTAACTCCTAAAAAGATCTGGGTTTTAGGGTCAATGTAAAATCCAAGGTCCCTGCCAAGTAGCTGAGAGTAAATTCCATTTATATCACCGTTCTGCTTAAGTCCCTATTGGAAACCACAGGGCCACAGGGTTGATTGATCCCCCATCATTTTACCGCAGGTGGCCGAAGCTGGAGGATGACGGTTAGTGAGCCCAACGAGTGGGTGCTGATGATTTTCCCATTGACACTTCCAGTTTATAAGAGATGGTCCATTGCCATGTTTGATTGCTGGAGGGTACCAGAAATGTTGGGATGTTTATCAGTTATGAACATCCTGATGCTCAGTTTGGTAAACAATTCCTGCAATTCTGGTGATTCTTTTTTGAGGATGCTTGAGGCATGCGCAATTCGCACATACCGCCCATGGTATCACAGCAGTCTCCAGGATTGGTTGCATTTTTATTGATCCACAATGTTGGGCATTCTGATACGGGAAGCTTGTGGGAATGGGGTTCCCATGTCCTTAAGCCGGAGAAATGCCAAAGTTGCTGCAATTCTCCCCCTGTCGATAGGAAATTCCATGGGGAATTCCATAGTAAGATTCAGTAAGATCATCAAAATCTTGTGGCTGTTGAAAACATGTTTTGTTTCCTCCTGTGCCTGTGCCATGATATGCCATGATGATCTCCCTTGGGTTCAAGCCGCCAATCATTGTGCGGCTAGCTGCTCGGTTTTCCGTTGTGCACCTTCCGGTCGGACCGAGACCGGGCACCGGGCTGACCATGTGACCATGGCACAAGGCCACCATTTGCTTGAAGGTGCCATTGCCAATGCCTCACCCGAAGCCAGTCAGGCGTGGCAACGCCTCGCCAAAACACTGTTGAATCATATACAGAAATGAAACCTACGATCCATCAAGGGTTAGCCGCCTGTGAGCTAATATTATATAATATAGATATGGGAAATCACCCCTTCAATAGGTGATTTATCATAATTTATCCACGAATGGGCAATTCTCCACATCTATCATAGATTCCCATAGATTCCCATAGATTCCCCATAGATTTCCCATAGATTTCCCATAGATTTCCCATGTCATCCCCTGTCATCACAGGGCATCCCTACGCCCACGCCGACCTTGGCCGCGGGCGTGGATGTATCTGCTGCGCAGCTTGGAGGCGCTGCCATTGCTGCAGCAGCCCACAAGGTGGCACCACTGAGCAAGGCACCGGAACAGCCGGTCATCCGAAAAAACACATTGGGTACCCTCTGGTAATTTAACATAGCTATTGAAAATGGCCATTTATAGTGGATTTTCCCATTGAAATTGGTGATTTCCCATAGTTATGTTAAATTACCGAGGGTAAATCATTCAATTTTTGATGGCTAACTATGGAAAGCCACCATTCTTTTGATGGAAAACTATGGAAAACATTTAAAAACAACATTTTTTTATGAAACACCCTATGGAAAAGCCACCATTTTTGATGGGAATCAACGAACTAAATAGGTTAGTTTACCAAAGGGTACGATATGGAACAGTCCCTGGTAAACTGTTAGAGTTTCCGAAGTGGAACATCACCATTGATGAAAAACACCGCAGAAAAATCGAACTGGGTCATGGCTTCCATAGCAATGTTAGTGTTTTGGAGGGTAATGATGGCTTTTCATGTGGATTGATGTGGGTTGTTGTGCATTTAATGTTGGTTGATATCGTATCCACCATGATTTGGATATGATCTGAAGGAAAAATGTGATGGATGGATTGAGGGAATTTGGAGCGTCAATGTTTTTGAGCTGCCATTTCTTTCAGTCTGGGATGAATGGATCATGTTTCTTTTTTTCCGGGCCCTGAACTTCAGTTGGGCTTACAGTTTATAGTTTGCAATTGTCCGGGTGCCCAAATTTGCCTCGATTCATGCTTGTTTGCAGTGACGGGGTGAGCCCGCATCGTTTGATGCATGATCTTTCTATGAAGAATCTGGGAGCCCTACTGAATCTATTGCCTTTCAATTCAGGGAAAACACAAATTCCCTGCAAGAACCCAGGGATGACCATCCTACATGGTATATACAGACATTCTGAATTTTGCTTGCAAAGCAGATTCCTAATCACGCACACGGACAGAGAAATAAACATATAATACATTTCTATAATACTATAATTGTATAAGCGCATATGCATGCATATTGTTTGTTCACTTATTCGTTCAGCTATCAGGCAAATTATCGGTAGGTAGATTTACTTATGTATATTATTTACTTGAACTATCTATCTATTTCTGTAGTATATCTTTGCAGTGTTTGTAGTTGCTTCATTTTTTCATAGTAAAAATGTTTTTGTTCTATTCATTGACTTGTTGGTTCCTCCATCCATTTCTTATGACAAGCTTAACAAAGCCTACCAACTATAGGGACCTCATTTTTACCGTTGCAGGTGCAAGCCATCTTCTCCGAACGAAAGGATGACCTCAACCTGGCCCTTGACGAGATGAAGGACAAGGTCACCTCGCTGATGCACGGCGTTCCCGCCAGCCACGGCCATGGCGGCCATGGCCACGCGGCGTCGGCGCCACACGGCAGAAGCGCTGGCAATGTCAAGGCGAGCGTGGCCGCCTCAGAATTCACAGAGGCAGGGGTTGGAGGATCACTGGTGGCTTTGCATCAACAGTTTGGAGAAAGTTGGGAATTAGCCTGAAATTATGGTCTAAAGATGCTTAGAAGATCAATTCCAAATTCATATACGGCATAATATGGCCGCATATTGAGGGTTTGAACAAATCCCATGGAGTTCGGGAACTGTTTGGTCACTGCTGACAGACCCCTGGCCCAACGAACATGTAACCATGAAGACATCCGGGGTAGAAGAGGAGCAGGAAATCCACGAAACCAAAACAGAAGTGGAAAAATCCCCATTTTTCCCAAGAAAGTCGTCCAAACACACGGAGATTTTGAGGCTCCGCTTGCCGCAGGTTCGGGAACATGCATGCTGGCTATGGTCCCGACTGGGTGTCTCCTTGATGACGCTGGAAGATCGCAATGTGTGGCTGGAGGATGAGAACAAACGCCTGGAACAGGAGGGCGCCCGGGATCATTTGGCGACCCCTGAAGTGATGTGGTGAATCGTCCCGATGGATCGGCCATTCACCAGGGGCCAACCATTTGCAAAGTATGGCAATGCCCAAATTGGATAGGTAGGTTTGCGTGGAAGATGAAGCATTACGGAGGGTATGCCTCTTCCAATACCAACGTTTGCAATTCTTGTGGAACGGGATCATTCTTAAGGTTCCCTTTTGAATTGTGAGAATTTGTGACCTAGAAAGGCACACCTTTCACTCAGAGAACGCCAATATCAGGAGTCGCGGCAGAATGCAGAGTTTTCACCATTGTTCGGACACCGATTCAAGCCCTTGTTCTACAAAACCCAGAGATTTTGGAGTTGAGCCCATCGCTGTTTAGACCTCAAGCCCAATGTTTTCTGATCATTTTTTACCAATCGGCATCTTAGACTTGGAGATATCTGGAGCCAAGTTCGATATTTGTTTCCCAACCAATCCCTTAAAGCCCACAGAACATCTCTTGAAGAATTGAAGATCTGGATCCCATGTTTCCAATCCATCCCAGCATCGATTTTCCCCTCGGGCTGGGCTCCAGGAGTTGGAGGGCCTGGAAACTCAGATCCGCGAGGCCCGGCAGCTGCTGAAGAGCCACGGCCGAGTGCCACCGCCTCTGGACACGTCGGAGGAGGCCGTGGGGCCACAGCGACATGGCCAGACTGCCAGTCGGGATGGGTATAAGGCTGGTAATGCGGGTAAAACAATGCCATATCAATGCCATATCAATGCCATAAATGCCATAAACCATCCCCCAAATATCCCCAAATCGCCATAATTAGGTGGTCTAATTAATAAAAACCATTCTAAGGTGGTATAAGAAACAGAGGATTCATCATGATTCATCAGAAACAGAGGACTAGTAATCATGATTTAATCATGAATCCAAATGGGGATGTTCACTGGATTCACTGGCAAGGGACACGACTTTTTGATGAATGATTAGATGTAATCACTGAACCACATGGAGGTTTCCTAAAATGGGGGTACCCTCAAATCATCCAAAAATCATAATGATTAACAAGGGGATGGGTATAATTAACAGAGGATTCATCATCAGCAGTGAATGTTTACTAGTGGGGATAAGTGAATGGCTTCAGAACATAGAAAGCCCACAAAAGTAGGAAGCCCCATTATATAATTAGTATTAATTAGTACTCATTACTCAGCTGACTCAGCTGGTGAAGTTTACCAATGGGGCTTTCTATGTTCAGAGGCATCGCTTTTTGACACTTTTTGAGGGCCGACATGGGATGACAATTGGATGACCACCGAAGAGGTAGTCAGGGTTTGTTGGTGTGGGGTGGGTTAAAGGATATGACATGGACACCACAATGGCTGGTTGATGCTTAAATAGCTTAAGTGATGCAGATGGGATAATTTGTTGGGGTAAGTTTGTTGGCGATGTGAAGCCACAAGAATGGATCTACATAAGCTTGCGGATATTATTGTATATGGCTTACATGCATGGGGTGAAAGCCAGAAATGACGATGGTCAAGCCATGTTCTGTTAAGTTTGGAGCTCTATTGCCGGGCTTCCCCATCGAATGTGGAATCATGGAACATCATGGATTTCACCTCATTTGACAAAAGAAACAGATGACATCGGCATCTTTCTGTCTCTTGCTGGGGACATTGTCAAGGCAGATGCTTCTGTTCTCATTTTTGGCCTATGGTGTCCAGTTCGAAAAATTCCAGATAGTCTTCCATGCTGGGTTTTCTGTGACGTGCCCTTGCCAGTTAAGACGGGGGGCCCAGAATTCAAACTAAATTGCAAGCCTCAATTCTACCGGCAAGTCAAACTCAAACCACCCCAAATATCTCCTAAACACATTGAAGTTTGCATCATTTCCAGTAGTTTTTGGATGTTTTTGGTGCTGGGACCCAGGATGGATGCCACGGGATGTCAGACCCCCAGCCAGAGCATGACCTCACCGTCGCAGCGCGCCGCCCCCGGCGCCCCGGGCGCCAGCGCTCACACCTTGCAGCCGCGCAGCGGGCATTCCACGGCGGGCGCCAAACCTGGCGCATCAGGCCGGGGATGGTGGTTGTTTGCCATGGGGACTAATGTACATATAATACATGTACATTTGTATAATTTTATATACAATATGGCACAATTGGCACGGGCACAAGCTTTAGCTAGCCTCTGTTCGCAAGCCCCTGTATTTTCAGGAATATCCAATCAGGATTCTTTCTCTGCCATTTCAGCCTCGCGTACAATTCAAGCAGCATCCATCTTCTACTTTGACAACCTTTTGGCGACCACTTCTGCACTATATAGAAGGTCCTGCTTGTTGTTCTGGCTACATTTTTTCTACATCGACGTTTTCTCCAGTCACTATTTTCTGCATTTTGTCGTATTCAACTCCTTCCTCAAGGCTGTTGTGGAAGCCTTGCACAGTCTCTTCTACATCTCATTCTCCGGGTTTGCTGGAGCCAGTGCCAATTCAAGCATCTCTTACTTGGTCAAATTGTGTCTCGTTTCGGTTGCGTTATTCTCCTGCTTGCAATTCCAGCCAATATTCATCAATTTTCTACTTCATCGACACTTTCTCCACGCACATTTTCCTGAAAAGAAGACAAAGGGGGAGGTCTTCCACATCAAGTCCTACTCTTCACTCTCTTCTTTTGCTGGAATGTGCGCTCATCGTCATTCTGTACTGAAGGGGCCGTGGCAATTTCCATTTCCTGTTCTCGCGGGACTGAAAGTCCCTGTTTATAAAGTGAAATTTGTTATAAGGACATTTTTGCCTACCACGGAAGCTGTTATCATCAGCTCCGGCCATGCCATGCCACATCACAGGTGGCGAATTTTTATTAAGCTCTCTCCACTTCAATTTTAGGGGCCAAGACAAAATTTTCCTTCTAGCCACATCAGCTCCATTACCTTGCAGCTAAAGCTCGCAGGGGCCGCCAGAGGCGTGCCGGGAGACCACCGGTCACTCCATCTTTGTTACTTTCTCCATCTTTCTCCCTTTTCTATACCAAAGCGAGAGACAAGTGGTCACGAACCCTGCTGTGCGTCACGGACCAATCTCCTTAAATATATTTCTCCTTTGTGATTATTGTTTCTCCGTCGTTTCGTTGGTTTTGGGGTCCACCTACACAAAACCTCGGGTCCCGTGTTACAGGTGCTGGTTAGTAGTATCCTGCAGCCACAGATTTTCCTGTTCTTTTCTCTTTTTCTCTTTTGCATTTTGTTTCTCCATTCGGCTGACGGAAAGCTGCTGCTGACGCGTAGTTGGACATAATTGCATATCGCTACGGAAAAATATACAATTTTGATCAATGTTGCACAAAACATATATCTGGACATAAAGACAGAAGTAAATAGATGCATGATATGAACGTAAATAAATACATGGATAACTAGCTAACTATTTAACTATTTAACTAACTAACTAACTAACTGACTGACTGACTGACTGACTGACTGACTGACTGACGAACTGACTGACTGACTGACTAACTGACTGACTGACTGACTGACCGACCGGCTGACTGGCTGACTGGCTGACTGACTGACAAACTAACTAAATAATATACAATTCAGCGTTTAATAAATATTTGATTGCTTATTTATTTAGTTTTATTTAGTTATTTATGTACTTAGTTAGGTAGTTATTTGGCCATGTTGATATACACCAGGATACTCCAAGCCACAGGGGACTTACCAAACATGACTACCACCTAACCAACTCTGGAACCAGCGGCTCCAGGTTGAGACCGACAGGTTGCTGTAGGGCACCGAACCACGAAACGCGAACAGACTGCTGAGAAAAACTGCTGTGGGTTGACATGACTGGAGTCTGACTGAGGGCAGATCTGGATGTGTAGGATCTGGATATAACATTGTACAACAATGTTAACAATGATATTATTTTGAACATTATGAGGACCCAAACTGGCCGCACAGTATCAACAATCACATGCATGTATGTATGCGCGTGTGCGGGTGTATGATGTATTTTGATTTTTGTTCAGAGAAATGTACTGTAATGGTTCTGAATATTTGTTTCTTTGCCCCACCTGTGGTAGCTGATCCGAACCTCCAAGGCCAAGGAGATGAGCCGCCCGGCGCCTCAGGATCCTCGTTTTTGGATGGTGAACAACTCCGTTTGTTGCTTGGACCGGTTATATAGTTGTAGTTATACTACAAATTACAAATCCCCAGTTTTGGTGGGGAAACACCTATATTTCCTGGTTTGGATCCTGTGTTAAATCCTATTTTTTGACGGTTAAAGGATGAATCACGTGTTTTTGCTTCTTAAACCCTAATCTTTGCAGCTTGAAACACTCTTTTTCCGGGCTGGATCTCCAATTTGGATGGTTAAACCACCATCTTTTATGGTTAACCAGGTAAAATCCATCCGTTTTGAATATTTGTATGGGTGATTTCCTGGTCCCCGAACCGCCGCAAAACGACGAAATCAGCCGGCAGGTCCCGGGCCGATGTGCCGCTGCATTTGCTGGCGGAGTTCTCCTCCGCCTCACTGGACAGGCAACGAAAATGTGGGTCACATATTTCCGTTCTTTGGGTGAAATCACGGATTGTATGTGATATTATAAAATTGTGATATAGTATGATGATCATGATGCATGTTTTTTTTGGGACATGACGAAATGTAGAGATAGATAGATGGATAATGGAATAGAAGATCAATAGATAAATAGATTGATAGCGAACTAAGTAGATACATAGCTATATAGATAGATTTATGAATGAGTGAGTACTATACACTGTACACATTGTATGTAATTTTGCATCCGTTAAAGGCGTGTTGCAACTATAGATATCTAGATCCGGTTGACCGTTGGGAAATCACCTCAGCAGACGTAGGTGGCAGCCGGTGATCCTGGACGAAGAGCGGCGATGCTTCTCCTTGCACTGGCCGAAGGTCCGAAGTTGGGGGGTGGGGGGAGCAGGACCCCCGAAGTCCACAAAGTCTGAAAAACTAGAAATAACATCATGTCATCGGGTATACCGGGTATACCGGGTATACCGGGTATACCGGGTATACCGGGTATACTGTTTTAAGATTTCAAAGACTTATCGTGCAGTACCCAGCATTTCCAGGGTGATGTGGCGCTCAGGCCATCCCAGAAGGGCTCTCGCGGAGCTACTTCCAGCGCTTGTTAGATGTGGCGCAGGGCAGCTGAGACATGGGGAGTAAATGGAATATGAATGGTTGGAATATGGTTGGAATCTTATCAAAAAGCTTCCAATGGAATATGAACCCTCCACTACCAATGAAGTTTTGATGAATGGTGGCTTTTTGTGGTTGAGGATCCAAACTAACATCGCCATATGGAACTGCTTTTCAGCTCAAGCTTCAATGGCCACTTGGTTTCTGAGGCCGTGGGTGGAGTTGCGGAATACCAAGGCCATGGCTGACCTTGGTGGCACAAGCCCTACCTTTTGCCCATTGGTCTCCGTTGAAATGGCATATTCAGCCGTATAGTGATAGAAACCGAGCAAAAGAAGAAGTAAATTAAATGCCAGGTTTAGATGCTCGCTAGGGGGTCTTGGTTCATATCAAAAAAACATGAAGAATCGTTGAGTTGGGAAGTTTATGATATGATGTTCACCCCTCAGACGAATTTGGATAAATTACCATAACTCTGGCAAATACCTGGTTCTTTCTAATTGCTTGTTATAAGCACCACAACACCACAACCCCGCAACCCCCTCAACTGCTATTTTGTGGTCATGGTTCGAAAATGCGGCACAAGTGCGCCCACACCATTCTAATTGGACTACTACCTCCAGTAATTTAACATAGCTATGGAACATGTAACATATTATGTATACTGTGTATATTATATATATATATATGTATATGACATAATTATTTACATTATATTATGTTACATTATGTTACACATTTTACGTTCTACAGTTACTCATCAGAATTGGGATTTTCCATAGCCAACTGTTAAGTTGCCATGCGGAGTAAAGCATTGAGTCATTCATCCCGGCAGCCAGGGGACTAGTGTCACCCGCAGTACCTGTTGGTATGCCACCGGCGGGTGCACCTGCGACTACACTTATGGACAACAAACACGCGTGGGAGGACTTGGTTCCGGTATGGTCCCAGAGGAATTGTACATTTTCAGGAGAAACTCTGTAGGGAGATGAAGTTCACCAACCACCCGTCTTGAAATGGCTAAGAAAGGATAGCGTTTGTGGATTTGGAAGGCTGGCTTATCTCCCCCAACCTTGCTTCGACCATCTAAAATCTAGAAGGTGATGCGCGATCGATGAACAACGACTTATAGGAGTTGTTGCCTGTGAGGGAGTTCAGTGTCAGGGCGAATGAAATCACATTTCTGCAATATGCATGTTTTTTTGCTACAGTTTCAAGGCTTGATCTGTAGCATGGTGCACCGAGGTCACAAACGCCAGTACCCTTCAGCCAGCTGCTGAAGGTGCAGACCGCGGGCTACGAAGATCAGTTGGACATGAGAGCATGAATAGCCGAATAGCCCGAATAGCCCTTCACCACAACCAACTTTTCAGCCTGGAATCTTCATGTCACATAGGAAATGTCTCGCTTGGGCTTGCAGTCTTGGCTTTGTGCAGTCTTTTTCGCCAGCAACCTGAGCTCAAAACACTTTCAAGAACCGGCGCTGCCTAGATCTCAGCTTAATCTCGTTCCGTGTCCAAGCAATGGCACCTGCTGCTGAGATGACGAATTTGAGCCAGATGCCCATGATGCCTCAGCCCAGCCAGGTCATCGTCTTGGTCGATGCATCCACCTTTTCTGTCACTCACGCAGCTCCTGTGAGTTATGTGACCTGGTGTCCTCAACCTGGTCCATGTCAGCCGGGCTTCACCCAACATCTGCAGCTTCCAGTGATGCCTGCGGCCGCTCCAACCTCCCCCTGTGGCGCCCCCTGTGGTCCCATTGCGCCCTTGACCGCAACGCCTCGCACCGACGTCCCCAGTGACGACAGCGAGGAGCGAAGGCAGGCCGCGCCGCGCTGCACGGCCAGCACGGCCCGGCGGCTGAGGCGAAAGCGGGCCGCGGAGCGGGCGAAGATCGCGAACGCCTCCGGAGCGCCGAAGGTGGGAAACGTATAAACATCGGACTCCAACACGGGATCAAAATGGGGGTTTGAAAGAAATTCGATTACACACAATAATTAATCATTTTGTATCATTTTGTGAACTCATCATACTCGTTTTGAGGGATGTTGAGTCTGGGAAAGATTGGGGGTGACCAAAAGCTATGAACTCGCCGAAATCTACCAATAGCGTGATGATAATGTGATGACAATGTGATGACAAATAGAGTTTCTTAGGCACTCCCACATCATCCCCATCATCTTACCTTTCCAGGTGGACTTGGACGAACTCCGTGCGCAACTCAAAGAAGATCCAGTGGCCGCGTTGCAGATGATGAAAGGCGTGAAAGGGGGCAGGGGTGCAGGGGCAGCTCTTTGGCGGTCCCAAAAATGCTGTTAATACCTGTCAATAAATTGCCAAAATACAGTTCTGCAATGTTCTGCACTTGAAAGGTGGGCCCGAACGTAGCTGCATTGTGCTTTGAACAGACAAAGTTGCTCCGATTTGCTTGGATTTCCTAGCCTGCCCCAGTTATGGATTGATGAACATCATTGAACACGTTCTATTTGAATCTGATATTTAACTTTGAAATGAAACATTAAAATACATTAAATACATTTACCGTAGAGCAGAATTCCGGCAGTTGCAAAACAAGCATCATAGGTTACAGGAGAATTCACTTCATTTTTCCCCTGAGTTGTAAACTTCGCAATCTCCATGTTTTGATTGCTTGAAACTCCCCTCAAATTCCTACCCTTCAAAACCACGCTCTCTTGGATTGAGACAGCCTTCAAACGTCACATCATCGGGGTGGAATTTCCAGCCAGCCCGGTTTGATTCCCAGTTAGCCAGTGATTCGCAACCATGGCACTGATGAAGTCCATTTCAATCCTCATTTTATTCATGTAAAATTCCAATGATGTCCATCCCACGCGATGAGTAAGTCATAGTAAGTCGTTCGCTTCAGGTGGTCAAAAGCTGTGTGAACCAAGAAAATCATAGAAAATCCAACATCAAATTCCAGAGGCAAATCACAGAATCCAACATCAAGAGGCATGGCATCACTGGGGTGCTCCCAACGCCACAGGTCACGTTTGGGCTTGGTCGCGTAACGACCTGGGCTGTCGCCTGGTCCAGGAAGCCCTGGAGACCGGCGGCCGCGAGGCGGCGGAGCTGGCCACGGAGCTGGAGGGCCACGTGCTCGAGGCAGCCATGTGACCTGGACGCCACGCGGAAAGTTGGGCTGGATCTTTTTGACCAAAAAAAAACGTATTGAGGATTCAATCTGATGATGTTTTTTGGGGTAAAATTCTGAGGATTCATGAGGATTCTAATGAATTCTGAAGGATGTTGCATGATTTAGGGGGAAAATCATGGGAACATGATGAAAAAATGACGTGCAACTAGAAATGATGGGGAAACCTAGGGTGGATGTAGGATTGAGGGGACAAACACGTATATATAAATATATATCCACATATCTATCAATCTAATCTATCTATCTATCTGTCTGTCTGTCTGTCTGTCTGCCTATCTGTCTATCTATTTGTCTGTCTGTCTATCTATCTATCTATCTATCAATCTATCTATCTATCTATTTATCTATCTATTTATCTATCTATCTAATCTTATCTATCTAATCCTATGTAACTAATCCTATGTATCTAATCCTATCTATCTAATCCTATCAATCGATCTAATCTATCTAATCCTATCTAATCCAAACCATCTAATCCTAACCATCTAATCCTATCTATCTAATCCTATCTATCTAATCCTATCTATCTAATCCTATCTATCTAATCCTATCTATCTAATCCTATCTATCTAATCCTATCTAATCGATCTTATCTATCTATCTATCTAATCCTATCTAACCATCTAATCCTATCTATCTAATCCTATCTATCTAATCCTATCTATCTAATCCTATCTATCTAATCCCTATCTATCTAATCCTATCTATCTAATCCTATCAATCTATCTATCTATCTAATCTATCTAATATCTAATCCTATCTAATCCTATCTATCTAATCCTATCTATCTAATCCTATCTATCTAATCCTATCTATGTAATCCTATCGATCTATGTAATCCTATCGATCTATGTAATCCTATCGATCTATCGATCTATCTATCGATCGATCTATCTATCTATCTATCTATCTATCTATATGAATATCTATCTATGTACCTATATATCTATCTATCTATCTATCTATCTATCTATCTATCTCTCTATCTTATCTATCTTATTTATCTAACTTCTCTAATCTATCCATCTAATCTATCTAATCTATCTAATCTATCTAATCTAATCTAATCTAATCCTCCAATCTAATCTAATCTAATCTATCTCATCATCTATCTATCTATCTATCTATCTATCTATCTATCTATCCATCTACCTATCTATCTATCTATCTATCTATCTATCTATCTATATGAATATCTATCTATCTATCTATCTATCTATCTTTTTTTTATTTATATATATATATATATATATCGGCCATGAATCTTGAACAAATATTGACCACCAGCTGAATAAAGATATAGACACATAGATGCACACACACACATGTCATCTTGTTTGGGACTTCCACCCATTCGTGAACTGCGAGTTTATGAACGGCAGTCACTGGCAGGTGAAAGATTTGACTATTTTATTTTGCTGGCAAAACTTGCGCACGTGATGATGTTGTAGTGTCATTCAAATATGTCGGGAAAGCAAAACATCCTGGGAGAAACTGCGATTGGTTGGTGAATATTGTTGTTTTTTTATTACATCGCCTTTGCAAACCTGCCAAGAATATCCTTTTGTTTCCGAGCCCTAAAAAATCTGGCGAATCCTGCATCAAAATTGCCAAGAACCCAGGTTGAACCAGAGCCCATCCCCATGTCATAAAATCACAATGTTTTCCCCACAGCTATCTCTCAGCAAAGGTTAGGGGTACGATGTTTAGGCTTGGACGTGTTGCATGTTGATGAGATGCGTCCTGAGGTGTCCCCATGCCAACTATGTGATCCAAAAGGCGGGACTTGGCACCTTTGGGCGTCAGTCTTTTGTATGGAGGGAATGAGGTTTTGTACTACTTTAGAATCCATTGGATTTTAGGTTTCCTAAATCTTTAGGATTTAGGATGCACCAGCCACTTCAACACTGTTTTGGACTACTTCTTAGCTCCATGAAGGCTTTCCTTTTTGTAACGGGCCCTGGCTGAAGGGCAAACTGTTGGAAGATGTAACTTGCAAAAAAAAACAAGTTACGGTCGCAATTATGGCTGAACTCTTGGACAGATCGATAGAGAGAGAGAGAGAGAGAGTCCCAATTGCCCGATTGTCATCGATTATCCACTATGAATAGTTTTCCATTGAATTACCCATATTCATCCGTTAAATAATGGATACCCGCCTTTTGGGCCACTGAACCGTCTCCCAACCTTCTGTACATATAATTACACCTACAAACCGCAGTGGACGGGATGGATTGCATGGTGCCAACATCAACAACAACTATAATGCCAACGTCGGATTAATAATCCCCTAGGCTGTTCATTGGGGCCATTTTACACCCCACATTCATCCACCGGGGTTTGTGAATCCTCGGTTGATCATAGTTTCTTTGATGTTATGTATGAAGAAGTTGCCGTGCTGCCAGCAATGTCAAGCTTCTCCTGGGGCGAGGAGATAGCAAAATCTCCAGGGGTGAGGAGAGAGTAAAAAACTAGAACTGATTAATGTATATACCCGATTCTTGAAAAAGAAAAAAGCGTTCGCATGCTGCGAGTGGCAGAAAGCAGTGGCGTTCCTGCACTCAGAGAGTGCAGCATATCTTCGCGGCCAGCGTTGAGGAAAAACTTCTTGGAGTTTGGAGCGCGTCCAAGCTTTGTTTCAAACGCAAGCAAAGGTGTCTGTACATACTCGTAGTTGGTCTTTTGAAACGAAGTATGCTTGATCTGGTGTTTGGTTGAAAAGCTGTTTCGAGCCAACACAACCAGTTGCGTCCGCACGGGTGTGCTACCTAGAGTGCCCGTGCTGGAAGTTTGTTTCGAGCATATCTGGTTCAAGTTGCCCCACGGGATAGTAAAAACTAGGTTTCAAGCTAACACAACCATACGCGTTCGCGCGGAAAAGATGTCCTGAAACCTTCTTGGGCCCAGACAACATGGTTAATATGCAAACCTTTTTAGCAGATTTCGGAACATGCTGTTCGGCTAAACATTTGTTTCTTTCGATTGATCCCCAACATGGCATTTCAAGGCCATTGCTCTGACATATATATTTTGCCAAACTCAAACCACGACAAGTCTAGACACAGTTTCAAACAAAGGCAAAAACATCGCAAGTTCATAGTACAAGAACTCCGACCATGAGCCCCATTACAAACCTCACGCCATTGCTTTGATTCTCAAGGGGCGAAAATGTGATACCTTCAGCCCTTTGACTTCCAGTGTTAAAAGATGCGGCACGTGGGGAGTGTGACTTGCACAGCTATTTTGGGCAGAAAGTTCAAACTTTTAGGTGGCTGGAGCTTGGCTGCAGCATGGAATACGTAACTAGAGATGCCATTATATAAATAGCTAAGGTCCTTTTAAAAACTCCTGAATAGATGGAATAATAGTGGCTACCCCAAAACTATTGGCATGAATAATAGTGGGCACCCCCGAAATCCCTAGAACTGGACGGACATACCAAGATAATCCAATGTGAATTTTCCAGAAGTCAGTATATGATCAACGATATATAATCATTGGTGAACACTGGAGGGTAATTCCCACGAAAATCTCTGCATTTTTGTCGGTGAATTCCCATTCATTACCATATATAAAGGTCACATAACCCGATGAATCGCCATCAAACCGTCTCTTTTCTTATAACCATTCATTATACCTGCAATTGAAAACACACCATTTTTGGATGATTTTCCCAATTAGAAACCTCCATTTAGCGCGGGGATTTTCAATTGCTACGTTTAATGACACGGGAGGGTAAATCCATTATTATCCCATTACTATCCCATTAGTATATCATTATTAAACCATAATATAAAGACAGCATATAAAACCACAATATTGGACCATTATCCCTATCAAACCGTATAACAGAATAATGAATAATGGTTAAATTCCATATTACAATTCATATATTTAACATATTTTAACATCATGTTCCATATTATATATTTCAATTAGATGAGATTTATTCTCCCACTATTCCTATGATTTTAGGAGTAGTATCCCTGTCAAACATTGTCAAACCATATGCTGGAATAATGGAATAATGCTTACATATCCCATATTACTATTAGATGATCCCATAAAATGGATATAAACCATCATTTTTTAACCATCTTAGACATGTAACCATAATATATAATATAAACCATAATGGATTATCCCTATATTACGTCCATTTTATGATCCCATCTAAAAGTGCCATTGGCATCCCAGGTGGTCTCCCACCTCTCCAGCGCAGCCTCCCGCTTCGTGGCCTTGGAACTGCACGGCAGCGTGGTGCGTGTGGCCAAGCCACGTGGCGGCAACCGTGGGGGGCGCCGAGGGTGGCTGGATCGGAGAAGACCCGAGGCGTCTATTTGAAAATAGGGGACAGACTAATTTTAATGACTTAAAATGGCTTTGATAGGAACATGATCATGATACTTAATTAACATTTTTTCATGGGAATTTGATAGGGGTTGTTTTTAAAACAGTGGAAAATGATAGCAGTATCCCCTATTTTCCAAGGGGTACCCTCTGAAATAGCAAATTTCAAAGGAACATGATCTGGAATTGGGGGGTAGCCTATTTTCAGACAAACCCAAAAAGGGGATGGTCTACCAACAAAAGAAAACTGGGGGGAACTCAGCAAAGAACTTGAGATACAATACAACCCAAGGAAAATGTAAATGTCAGGTGGAATGGGGTAGTTGGAAGGTTTCAGTTGAACGCCATGATTCGCTACCATGGGGATGCCATGGTATTGACCTACATCATCCTACATCCTACATCCATGTCGGATTGCAGCCATAGTAGATGAGTAAATGTAAGTGAGATAAACATGGATAAACATGATGTCATGGATGAACAGTTGACAATGGCCGCCAATCATTGGCTGCCGATGGATTTAACAACGGCAAATATCACAGGCCGCACACCCCAGATCCCAATTCAACCCTGCACTCCGGGTATGCAGATTATATAAATGCTTTCAGCAACCTTCCAAGTGCAGATCCATCCCCGAAAATGGATCTAAGACATGATCTTTGGCAATCTCTGTCTTCTGTGACGCTTAGGTGAAGAGCAAATTGAACTAGCGCTGCTAGACCTGTGTGTTGCAAGGCCTGTTCTCATTCTTTTTGGCTGGAGTTTTTTTTTGGGCTGAACCCCCTTTGTTTGCAAATATTGTATGCCAGAATCTGCCAAATGGCAATAGTTTTGGGAGTTTTCCTATCTCGATGCCTCCCAAAATTGTCTCACTTTCTGGTGTCATCGCGGCTGCACTTTGTCGCCACTTGGTGCAACAGTTGAGGCACCGCTTTGCGTGTCGTATCCTTTGCAGGCTCTTGGAGTTCTGTTCCTTTAGCGCCACTGGTTACCAACGATGGGCATGGCGTCGGGAGGTTTGCATTTGTGTACATACCCGTTTCTTCACACAACATTGTTTTTATGATGACGGCCACTGTTTTTTGCCAGCTGATGATGGTGGTGATGAAGAAGATTGTTATCATTCTTCATTGCTTTCATGGAACGATCCCGATCTGTCCTAATAGATTCGGGGTTTTGATCAATGGATGCGTACCTCAATAGACAAATAGACTGGTGATAGATTGTCGACAGAGACACGGACAGAGAGCCGGTCGGTCAGTAGACAAACAAAACGACGGACAAACGGATAGAGGATGTATTATATATATATGATGTATGTATATAATTAACATGTATATATATACATGTGTGTGTGTAATGGGACACAGTAAGCCCAATAAATTGTTATCCTCCCCAATTCAGGTTTATGAAATTGGGTCTGCCCCTGTTTGGAATGATGGAAAATGACCCGCACACGGTTGGTTACTAGGAGAGTTTATGGCATTGGGTTAACAACAGAGTCTTGCGGGGCGCCACCAAGGTAACATCAGCACTGATGGATGAACTGTTGGTGGATGCTGCAGAGTTGTGCACCCATAACTTTGCCCATCACGTCATGGAATCCATCTTGGAGAATGGCGAGGACGGCCAATCTGCGCCATGGGACCATGGATGGTGATTACAATGTATGGAGAGGTGGAGCTGGATTGTGCGATTTAGCCCTTCAGTTCTGTAGCAGCATTCCAAGTCGACCAGGATGGATATTGATGGATATTGATGCATATTGATTCGATGATGATGATGATGGTGATGATGATGATGATGATGATGATGATGATGATGACGGCGACGACGACGACGACGATGATAGTGATGATGATGGTGATGATGATGACGATGATGGTGCTGATGATGATGATGATGATGATGACGATGATGATGATGATGATTTGATGATGATGATGATGATGATGATGAAAAAGATGATGATGATGATGATGCTGATGATGATGATGATGATGGCGATCATGACGATGATGATGATGGTGCTGATGATGATGATGATTTTTTGTTTTTGATTTGATTTGATGATGATGATGGTGATGATGATGATGGTGATGTTTTTTTGTTTTTGGTCTGATGATGGTGATGATGGTGATGGTGGTGATGATGATGGTGATGATGATGATGATTTGATGATGATGATGATCATGATGATGACGATGATGATGATGATGATTTGATGATGATGAAAAAGATGATGATGATGATGATGATGGTGGCGATCATGACGATGATGATGATGATGATGGTGATGGTGATGGTGATGATGATGATGGTGATGATGGTAATGATGGTGATTTGATGATGGTGATGATGGTGATGATGATGATGATGATGATTGTGATGATGGATATCGATGATTCTTTTGAACATATGTTTGCCAATCCTTTGGCCAATGATTCTTAGCGCCGCTGCTGCAGGAACGCCACAAGAAGTTGGTGGCAGATGTGTTGCTGGTGGATCCAAGGAAGTTTGCCACCCACAAGAATTCCAGCACCTTCGAGGAGAATTGGGGAAAAAATGTCTGGCATAGCGACAAAACGTTCCCCTAATTTCAATCAGCAATGAATTCCTGCAAAATATGGCTTGTGATCCTAGTGGTCAATGCGCAGTCAGCTTTTCGTACATGTTTGGATAATGAGTTGGATATGATTGGATATAAGTAAGCTCGAGCAAAACTGAAAACTGCATGTTATTTCTTCGACTGTTTCATGTACCCTCCAGTAAACGAACATAGCTAAGAAAATTGCAAATTTATGGATGATTTACTTACCACAAGATAGTGATTTTCCATAGCTATGTTTGTTTACCCCAAGGGAAACCCACCTGCCCACAGCCAAGGCTATTTGGTGGAAAAGGTGTTGAGCTATTGCAGCCAGAATTTTGGCCGCATTGTGCGTCTATTTCATATGGAGATGCATGAAGCAGCCAACACTCCAGGTACATGGTCAACAAATAAATAGATAAGAGTAGTAGTTTTCATGCAGCATGATGATCGTCGTCATCATCATCATCACCATCATCACTGTCACCATCAGAATTATCAACATCACCAAAACCAAAAATACAACCTATGTTGATACTGTTGATGATGAAAATGATTATGATTATATCATAGTATTTTGTCCCACATCCCTCTGGTCTGGCTCTGCGTGTGAGAAGTGAACTAGTAGAGTGCAGGTGCTAAGTGCTAAATTAAGTTGTTTCTTAAGATTGGGTGTGGGGGCCCCAAAATTTGCCACGAGACATTGCCTGGCCACCTCGTCGCTCAAGGAGTGAGCAAGATGTTCTTGTGGCCAAACTGGGGCAGCCGGAGATGATTCTGGACCTGGCCCTCACCCAGTTCGGTTGCTACGTTGCACGAGCCATGCTGCGTGATACCCGAGTGAACTCGGACGCAGCCATGCAACTCATTCGGGGACACCAGTCCAAGCTGGAGGAGACCCCGCATGGACAGCGTTTTTTGGTGGATATCGGCTTGATCCAACCGTATCCCGTTGGATCCATGGTGGCAGGCATGTAACTAATCCCAAACCAACGCCCGGTGTGGCGCAAATCTTTCAAGGTTCCCGTTGTGGCGCAGAATTCGTGAGGGCATTGTACAGTTCACCCCTCAGGAAAGAACAGATACACCCGCAGCTTGCCAGAGGGCGGCAGGGTAACTGGCACGTGCTTGAAGAAGCGTGTGCAAACTTGCATCAACCCCAACGCAGTCCAACACATCAAAGTGGCGCCTTTACAAAATCTGCATCTACTGCCTTGGCCAGCCTTGGCCCTTCGTTTTTCAAGGATTGAGGGTTGCGTTGGGATGGCCCCCGCATGCGGATGGCCGCACCAGCCTGTACAGCCGATGGTGCGGGGCGGGAGCCATGGGTTGTGGTTGCGGCGATGACCGCTAGGGCCCAACTCACAATCCCCTGTGCAGTCTGGTTAATCAGCAGCTCCGCAGCTGACGGATTGACATCTGAGGCCCTTGAGTCGAGATCTGGAGCCTTGAGCGCTCTGGAGAAAGGAGGCATCAAACGTCATGGATTTAATGAATATCATGCTCCTGATTGGAAGAGGCCGTTAAGGATTTGTATGTCGAGCTTCAAGGGTTGAGAACCTTTTCAGAACTACAGTGTTACAGCAATTATGATTGAATTCTGCAAGGCAAACATCATCCATCATTATCTCTCCGAAGTAGAGCCCTGGCTTACGCAGTGAATACAACATCATGCATTCTATGGGCCACGGGTCTTATTCTTCTTTGGGCCCCCAAATGCATGCAAAAGCCAACAACGGACCATGGAAGTTAGAGCAAGAAGCGTTTGATTTTGGCATCAAACTTTCAATCTTCATGATCCATGTCAAGCCAGGATCAGGCCTGCAGTTTCTGAAGTCTGTGTGGGGGGAGCTGTTTGGGAAGGAGGAAGGGTTTCCTAGGCCCCTCTGGAAATTTCCTGAGCCCACCAATGATAGCACGGTTACATCCATCTACCAGATTGGATGCAATCTCCGCGCTGATCGATGTTGGCAAGGTGTTGAGAAAGTTGAGCCCAGCGAGGCCGGCTGGGCCAGAGGTGGATGGATGGCAGTAGACACACAGTCCGACCCCAGCCTGGCTCACCGGCAGAACACGCAGTTCATCCACGGTTCGGTAGAGGTGCCAAAATGCTGGGGTCGGCGCAAGATGCGCGGGTTGGGGTGGTTTCCATTGTTTAATCTGAATTATTGAAGTGGTTTTACTGTTGAGAAGTTTCCCATGTTTTTCCTATAGTTTTGTGGGATGACCCAGAATGTGGTTGCATAGGCGAAATAGGTCCGAGGTGCGTGACACAATGATCAACTATTCGGACAGATGGTTGTTTGAAAGGTTGGTGGTATTGGATGACTGCCTGTACTGTACAGCATGGCATGAATCATCATATGACTCTCTATGACTCTCCTGCGTGTCTTGCTGTAGAAAGATATGATGGGCCTGTGAGAATTCAAGTGAAGGGCAAACAAGATTCAAGACTCTGAAGGGGAAGCCAAACATGGTTTTGATGGGTGTCACACGGTTGGTACCCGTGTTCTAAGACGAGATCGAGGCTCCCTAGGCTTTCCAGTGGATGTAGACTGATATGCATTGATGTTCTCGCTTGCTGTAGCTCTCCCACTGTTCGTTGTTTCGATGATTTTTGATGGCTTTAAGGTCAAAGCTGATGTGAGGCCCCAGATTCTTGACACCCGCAGCCATGACAGCTAGTGAACAAACATTAATGTGGCACGTTTTTGGGGTGTTTCCAGGCCGTAAATCCGTGGGGATTGGTTCAATTCAAGAAAGATAAACCGGATGCGGTGTCGAAGATAGGGAGATTTTGCATGATTTTGCTATGTCTTATCACTTCAAAGACAAACCAGTCTTCACTGACTTCGGGGCTCAACTTAACTTGGAGGGGTTGACTTTACTATTTTCCCACCTCCACCTCTCCACGGGCGCTCATCATCATTTCAGGAATTCTCTCATGAAGAATCCATCGGCCCACAAATTCTAAGAACATCTAAGAACTGCATTCTGATTTTGACCCTCAAAAGTTTGCAAAGATCTCAGCCCATGATCTGACCAGGGACCTCCCCTGCAGCCTGTCCAGGGTGGGTCGTTGCCATGTCGCCTCCACTGAGGGTTGCCGCAGAGCTGCCTTCGGATGGGCTCAAGGTGGAGGGAGGAACCTTGCGAGCTGCCAGGGCCTTGGGCTTTGGAGCTATAGCCTCGAGGCCGGGGATGAGATGATGGGATGGTCACTTGGTTCTTGCTAATTTGAAAGGAATTTCATGGAAATTCGAAGATTTTGGAGGGGCCTCAGATGGCATGGTTTGCTTCTTAAAAATCATCCGCAAAAAGCCTAAGTTTTCCCAGCCCTTGGGCCCTTGGCTGAGGGAGTTGCCACTGCTGCTGGTGCCGGGTGACGCCTGGGGCTTCCTGGGCAGTTCTGCGGCCCCGGAGAGCTTCGCAGAGCTGGCGCGGCGCCTGGGAGACGCCACGAGGCTGGCGGCCTATGCGGCCTTTTTGGGGATGACCGAGGAGAAGCAACTGGGGCTGTGCAGTTTTTTTGTTTTAAAACGGGATAAGAATCTGATAAGAACGGTTAAAAACCTAACCATAATGGGAGTAACTATATGATATAATGATATATAATGGGCTACCAGGAATGTGATTTGGGATCTGTCTCAGAAAATCGGATTTGATTGCTAATTTATGACCGTTTTGATAGACACTGGGATTTGGGTTCCAGTTTTGAGACCACCCTTATTGTGGGGATGGAACACACAAATCCATGATGGATTGGTAATTAGCATTGTTTTTAACACAGACACACACATATATATATTATTTAGGTTGTTCCAACTTATGCTCAGTTATGGCCACAAAAGGGGGAATTGATATGAATTGATCATTATACCCTTTGTACTTCTTCATTGGCTCATGATGAGACTAGACACACACACACACATACATGTATGCATACATAATCATACACACACACATATATATATGTATACATAAGTGTCACACACTCATAGTACGTATATATATGCACGTGCATTGTTCATTTTTCTGATTTGTGTGTAGCCTATTTATGGTTTGATATTTACCTGGTGGTAATGTCGCTTGCCTCTTGGCAAGACCAAAGGCTCTCATCCGCGACTGCCATTGCCTTTGTCTACTTCTCTTATTAGGGTAACTGTAGATAGAGATGTGCATGCCCTTAAGAGGGTGGTTCCCATCTTGTCATGAAACAAGTCGCTAGATTCATTCATATTTGTAAGAGCCACCCAAGTCAAGTCACATCTTTTTCTGTTTCCCTCACCAGTGCTGAGCTGAGGCAAGAAACCTTTCGCAACCTCGGTGTGCCAGCTGGCAGTGGTGTGCCGGAAGCATCTCAGAAGGCTGTCGCGGCCTTCCTTCGTGACTTTCCGGAGCCACTTTCCTGCAGAGGGCGATGCCTGGTGCTACGTGTTGGTGACTGTTTGTTCTATACATTCCACATCTTTCAGTCAGTGTATCAGTCTACCGGTTAGCGAATCATTTGTTTGTTCATTACAGGTCCCCCTTCATACGCTTCCGAGACCGTTGTTTCATGTTTTTGCCAACGGACTCGTTACCGTCGCACAAATCCACATCCGATAGTCTGGGGTGGGGTGGGGTGGGGTGGGGTGGGATAATAAAGTCATTGGCATTTCCACATGATCTTGATGCTACGCTCTATGATCTTCATTGGCATTTCCACATGATCTTGATGCTACGCTCTATGATCTTCAATTGCAATTCCACACATCCGCATCCGATAGTCTGGGGTGGGGCGGGGTGGGGTGGGATAATAACGTCATTGGCATTTCCACATGATCTTGATGCTACGCTCTATGATCTTCATTGGCATTTCCACATGATCTTGATGCTACACTCTATGATCTTCATTGGCATTTCCACATGATCTTGATGCTACGCTCTATGATCTTCAATTGCATTTCCACATGATCTTGATGCTACGCTCTATGATCTTCAATTGCATTTCCACATGAACCTGATGCTACGCTCTATGATCTTCAATTGCAATTCCACATGATCTTGATGCTACGCTCTATGATCTTCATTGGCAGTTTCCACATGATCTTGTGCTACGCTCTTATGATCTTCAACTTGCAATTCCACACAATCCGCATCCGATAGTCCTGGGGTGGGGTGGGGTGGGGTGGGATAATAACGTCATTGGCATTTCCACATGATCTTGATGCTACGCTCTATGATCTTCAATCGCAATTCCACATGATCTTGATGCTACGCTCTATGATCTTCAATCGCAATTCCACATGATCTTGATGCTACGCTCTATGATCTTCAATTGCAATTCCACATGATCTTGATGCTACGCTCTATGATCTTCAATCGAGATTCCGCATGATCTTGATGCTACGCTCTACGATCTTCAATCGCAATTCCACATGATCTTGATGCTACGCTCTATGATCTTGAATCGCAATTCCACATGATCTTGATGCTACGCTATATGATCTTC